AAATTTATATCATCTTTTCATGTTTGTTATTATTTAATAGGGTTTTTCATTTAAAGTGAATGATTGATTTATTTATTTATTAAAAGTATTTTTTTTTGAGAAAATTCATTAATTATATGTAAAAAAATTAAAAATACCTTATACTTTTTAACTGATCAAGTATATAATATTTTAATAATATGGATAGGATATGAAAAGTATATTTATATAAAAGACCATATCAGCCTGTTAATTAAACATATTTTTTTAAAAAATATAATCAATTTATTTATGTTATTTTAATTTTTAGTTATAGTATAATTATTATTTTTAAAAAATTTTAAAATTTTTTATTAAATTATTCTACACCTTGGACCCCCCACTACTGCTCACTATAATGTTTACTTACAATAGATGGAAATTAATGTTGATTTAAAGATGTGTGGACTAATCCAATAATCAAAGTTTTGGTAGACATTTTACCAATAATAATAATAATAATAATAATAATAATAAAAATAAAGTTTTTATAGACATTTTGGTTGAAGATATCCAAAAAAAAAATGCCGAAAAGAAAATGGAATGCCATGGCTATAAGGTTGAATTCTGTAACTAATGGTTTATTTAGTGTTAAGCAAATCAAATAAATGATGAATAGATTGTGGAGTGTGCATAATGAGTTCTTTTTATTGCAACATACTAGATTTGTCAAGTATTTGTTAATTTAGTGAGCAAGTTTTGTTCATTACTTTTTAAGTTTTTAATTTTCTTTGTATCAATCATAAACACGAGAATATACAGGCCAATATAGAGGAAAGAGTTATTTAATTATAGACACTCATCGCTTAGAATAACAATTGAGTGTTTTGGAGTTATGAAAAATAAGGGCTTGTTTGGTAATATATTCTTGAAATAGTTTTTTATTCTCTAAAATAAAAGAATAAAAAGATCAGTTTGATAACGTGTTTTTAAAAAGTATTTTAAAAAAATAAAAAAACAAAATATTGTTATGAAGAATAAAAAATGAAAATAACTTTTAAGTATTTTGGGATTATTATTTTGAAGAATAAGAGAGAGTGAAAAAACACGTATTTTCATTATTTTTTTATTTTCAGAACATTTTTTACAGAACACTAGTTTTCAAAATAATAAACTCAAAATAATAAAATAAAAACAGTTTCAAACAACTTCTAAATTACTTATTTTAAGGTTGATGTCTATCTAAACTTTTTGGGCAACTACTGTTAATTTTGTATATCTCAATTCATATGAATAAGTAAAGTAATGTATGCGTACTTGAAAAATTTATGAGCGCTTGAGAAAGCTGGATTATCTCGAGTGTAGACAGGTACACAACCTACTGGCTCCCAGAGTCTTCAGAGAGTTCAGAGATAATAGAGCAGAAGAAAAAAATGAGTCGTGTGTTTGCGGTTATCGACTGATCGACTTATATTGCTTAGATTTGTAACCGCCTTATTAAATAATTAAATAATTATATTATCTATTATCTTTGACTCAGTCAGTTAAGATATAGGAAATAACTAACGGCTATTGGGTTGTGGGTTAGGCCTCTGCCCATTGGGCTTACTTATGTGGTCCAACTATCACAATCCACACAAGATCATAAGAACCAATCTGCTTGGGCTCATTAATTAATGTTAATCCATAATAAAATTCCAACAATCTTCCACTTGGATTGCATTAATTAAGCAAGTTATATAAACAAGTCACAAATAAAATTCAAAAAATGAAACTCCACAAAATCACTGGATCCTATAGGGAAACAAGTGATATGATGTCTCATAATCTAAATAAAATATGAAATTTTATTTCAAACACAGCTCAGTAAGATAACAACATAAATCACTGATTCCTATGGGGAAACAAGTGACATGCATAATATACCACAACAAGATCATTGAATCCTATAGGGATACAAATGATATAGACGCATCTAACTGAACTGAGCATAACTCACAGAAAAAAAGAAAGCCTAAAGAGAAATTGCAACATAAAAGGTTCTCAAACTCTCACTAAATCAGGGCATCCAAGGAATTCATAATACCCATACAAGTTACATGATTTTGAAAAACTTTTACAGGTAAGCCCTTGGTCAGCGGATTTGCAAGCATCTGCGTGCCAAGAATATGTACCACACGGGTCTGAGACAATTTTCTCTTTCACAAACATAAGTTTGATATCAAAATGCTTTGTATGACTGAAATTTTTGTGGTTGTTAGCATAGCATACTGCAGATTTGTTATCACAGTAAATGGTTAGAGGACGTGATATTGACTCAACTAGGTGTATGCCAGATATCAACTTCCTCAGCCATATAGTTTGACGTGTAGTCTCAAAACAAGCAATATACTTAGCTTTCATAGATGAAACTGTTGTAAGTGTCTGTTCACACTTTTCCAAGAGACAGCTCCTCCAGACAACATGAAAATGTAGTTGGTCGTGGATTTACGATCATCTAGACAAGAGACAAAATCTGAATATGAAAAGCCAATAATTTCAAGATCTTCTGATCCCTTAAAGTCATAATCAGAATACCCAACAACCTTAAGAGAATTTGACCTTCTGTAAGTTAACATATGATTCTTCGTACCTTAAAGATACCTCATAACTTTCTTAGCAGCATTCCAATGATCTGGACCTGGATCATTTAAGTATCAACCCAGCACTCCAATGGCAAAGGCTATATCTGGTCGAGTACACACTTGAACATACATAAAGCTACCGACAGCGGAAGCGTATGGTATCTTTCTCATTTCAGCCCTCTTCTTATCATCCTTGGGACACTATAATTTTGACAACAGCTCACCTTTCTGTATAGGAGCAGGTGAGGGAGAACATGAATCCATTCTGAATCTCTTAAGTACCCACTCAATATAAGTGGTCTGTGATAAACCAAGAATACCACAAGATCTATCACAATGAATCTGTATCCCAAGAATGAAGGAGGTTTCACCCATGTCCTTCATGTCAAAATGGCAAGACAATAGGTGCTTTATCTCATTGAGGAAATTTATTGAATTGCTGGTTAACAAGATATCATCAATATAGAGAACAAGAATGGAAAAATTGTTCCCCTCAAACTTCTGATAGATACACTAATCTGAGACATTCTCAACAAAACTGAGCAAGGTAATAACTTCATCAAACTTCAGATACCACTACCTAGAGGCCTGTTTTAGCCCATAGATGGATCTCTTCAATTTGCACACTAGATGTTCTTTACTAGATTCAATAAAACTATCAGCTTGTGTCATATAGACTTCTTCATACAAATTGCCATTCAAGAACGCAGTCTTGACATCTACTGGTGAAGATCAAGATCAAAACTGTGAAACTAAAGCCATCACCACTCTAAAGGCATCTTTGGTGGATATCGGAGAGAAGGTCTCTGTGTAATCAATACCTTCTTTCTGGTTGTAGACTTTAGCTACAAGTTTGACTTTGTATCTATCAATTTCACCTCTAGCTCCTCATTTTATTTTAAAGACCCACTTGTAACCCATTAGTTTAAAAGCCTTTGGTAACTCTATAAGCTCCCATACATGATTGCGATACATAGAGGCAATTTCTTCACTCATAGCCTCCAACCATTCAAAAGAATGCGAGCTAGAAATAGCCTCTTGGTAAGATATTGGATCTAAAATATCAATAGCATCTGAATTAAATTCTTGCAAATACACCATGCAATCATCTGGAATATCAGACCTGCGAATCCTTTGGGACCATCTTGGTTTAACAACCAGATCCCCATCACCCTCTAAAGGTGGTTTATCTTGAGCTTCATCCTGATCCACGGCATTATTTCTGTTAACATGAGGGGTTGTCAAGATAGGCATAAGCAAAATATTACTTTTGTAATGTAAAGTAATATGCCTAGGCATAGAGCTCCTACTGTCTAAGGCATTTTCAAAGAAATAAGCTCGGTCAGATTCAATTACCCTAGTAGTGTGATTTGGACAATAGAATCTGTACCCATAAGATCCGATGCAATAGCAAATAAAGAAACCATCAACAGTTTTAGCATCAAGCTTCATCTGTTGTGGATTGTAAGGTTTTACCTGTGCTTTACAACCCCAAACTCGCATATGCTTTAGCGTAGGAGTCCTTCCAAAATACAACTCATATGGAGTCTTTGGAACTGACTTGCTAGGAACTTGATTCAAAATATAAATAGTAATTTTGAGTGTATCACCCCACAAGAATTTCGGCAGTGAGAAGTAACTGATCATGCTTCTAACCATATCTATGAGAGTATGATTTTGTCTTTCTACAACCCCTTTCTGCTGTGAGGTGCCAGGCATAGTATATTGAGCTTCAATGCCATGCTCTTGAAGGTACAAAGTGAATAGCCCAGGGTTCCTACCAGTCTTAGTATATCTCCCATAAAATTCTCCTCTTCTATCAGATCTTACACATTTGATCAACTTGCCAGATTTTAATTCAATTGCTGCTTTAAAGGTCTTTAATGCATTAAAAGACTCACCCTTTTCACACAAAAGTTCAATCCATCCATGATGAGAGTAATCATCTGTGAAGGTGATAAAATATCTGAAACCACCCATAGCCGGAGGTGTGATAGGTCCATAGATGTCAGTATGAATTAGGTCTAAAGTGTTTTTAAACCTCTTTGTCCCTTTGGTTCTAGCTTTAACAGGAAATTTTCCCTTTATGCAGTCAACACAAGTCTCAAAATTTGAGAAATCAAGGTCTTGTAAGACACCTTGCTTGGCCATGCGTTCCAATCTCTCTTTAGAGATATGACCCAAACGACGATGCCATAACATAGAGGAATTATTGTTGGGCCTTTGACGTTTATGCCCAATAGCAGTATTGATATGGAGATTAGGAAGTTCAAGTGACCAATCATTCAATCGATATAAACCATATATCAAGGAAGCGTAACCAACATTAATAAAATTAAAACAAATGTCAATTTTTTCATTTCCTTGGAAGAATGAATAGCCACAAATATCCAATACAGAAGTTGAAATTAAATTCCTCTTTGCAAAAGGTACATAAACAACATTATTCAATGTAAAATATGACCAGAATTTAAATACAAAGAGATAGTTCTAATGCATTCAACTGATGCCTTGCTCCCTGTTATGTCAAAGACTAACTTCTGTGCCTCACTTGGAATCTTCTGGTTTCTTAACCCTTGTAGAGAATTCACAACATGTACAATGGCACCAGAATTCAGCCACCATGAGTCAAAGAAAGTTTCAATGGTGTTAGATTCAAAACAAACTAGAGCTAGAAGGGCAGTTTGAAGAATTGTACCTTTACTTTTTTCTTTGTTCTTTAGTTTGAAGCAATTAACTTTAATGTGACTCAGTTTCTTGCAATAATTGCATAATCCCTTAAAGGGTTTCTTCCTCAGCTTTTCATTCTTATCACCATTCTTCTAAAAGGTTGGATTATTAGGCTTTGGGGCATTATGCTTCTTCCCCTTTTTCTTATACGACCCTCCAGATTTGCTGCTAGAGCCATGAGAAACATAATTTACTGAGTGAGAGGAATTCTTCTTTATAGTTTCCTCTTCTTGAGTGATTATTGATATCATCTGGTCAATAGATCATTCAGCTTCTTGTGAGTTGTATGAGGTCCTCAAGAATGTATACTCTGATGGCAGTGATTGAAGAACACGATAAACTAAGGTACTCTTGACCAAATCAATCCCATATGACTTAAGCTTGTTATAGTAATGAACAAGCTTCAGAATGTGCTCCCTGACACCAGAAACTCCATCATATCGAGTATTGTCAAGAAGTGACAAATAGTAGTTCTTTTGAGTCTTGTCAAGCTTCTTGTATTTATTACCAACAGCTTTCAAGTATTCCACTGTAGTATCCTTTTCAGGAATACTATCCCTAATTCTCTTCTCAATTGTGTACTTGATGATCGCAAGAGAGATCTGGTTGGACTCACTCCATTGTTTATGGAAGGCCATTTCAGAAGCACTGAACTTGGAAGAGAGATCCGCAGGCTTGGGCTCTCTCAAAGCTAAATCTTTCTTAGAAATGGCCAAATACATATTTAGGGACTCTTTCCAGTCATCATAGTTAGTCTCATTGAGAGCCTTCACAAAAGATAGTTGCATAAAAGCAGAAACTGAAATTGCAAAATAGAAAATTGGAAATATTAATTATGCATGCACAACATAATTATAAAACAGAATTTTCCAACAAGCAATTATCAATTATACAACTATAATCATGCACCAAGAAGGTTCAAATACCATAAAGATTTAGCTCATACAAAAGTCCATACAAAATAATACATTAAACATTTCTACACCCATAGAGTACAACAATTATCTAACACATTAAAGGAGTGCTATTAGCCTATCCATCAAAATTACGTTAATAATGTCACATCTATGGGGTATGTCCATTATCAATGCTACAAATTTTATGACCTTAGGACAAAACAAAATAATTTTAAAAGTCATTGGGGTCTTTTGGGAATTAGGGAACAAATTTAGGACTTAAGTGAAATTTTGAAAGGTAATTAGGGGCAAATAAGTAATTCTAGAAGATATTTGGGTCAAAATTACAATTCTGAAAGTTAAGGGACTAAACTGTAATTTCTAGAAATATCTTGGGATTAATGCGTAAATACTAAAAATTATGGGTCGAGAGATGTAATTTAAACTGGGCCAAAAGAGTAATTAACAGAAACTATTTTTTTTTAACAAAGATCTAGGCCCATACAAAAATTAGCCCAGAACCCATGGAACCGAATCCTAGGGATCCGATGCCTGACCTATTCTGGGTCTTCTCCAGCCGCGAGCTAGAAACGAGGACCAAAGGGGAGGCCGGCGTGCAGCGGTTGTCGGAATGGCAGTGACGTCCCCAGCTCCAGAACCTCCACCGCGCCGCCAACTCCAGACGACGCCGAAGCAGACCTACGACGGCAATGCCTGAACTGCGGTGACATAAACTTCCAATGACGACGCAGCAGTCCAAAACCTTTTTTTTCGACAATAGCACACGGTGAAACAGTGATTTGCAAGAAAGAGCTGTCTTTGTCAAAGCCGCGTACCGAACAGCTTCCGACAGCCATGAAGGAGGACGACGCCGTGAACTACCCCCTCTCGTTGGCAATTTGACAGTGAGGAAGAACAGTTTTGACGCCGTGAAGGAGAACTCCGTGAAGCGCACAGTGAAGAAAATGACGTCAAGAATTTTTTTATCATAAATATAATAAGATTTAAGACCAAAATTTTCCTATTCAAAACTCATATTCATACTCATTTCCTGAGTAATATGGATCATAAAGAAATTTATCAACATGAGCATGAATCTCTATCAATATATCAATATATACATAAGAAGAATTGAGATATATAAATTTAGAATTCGTTAACTTGGCTCTGATACCATGTGTTAATTTTGTATATCTCAATACATATGAATAAGTAAAGTAATGTATGCGTACCTGAAGAATTCATAAGCGCTTGAGAAGACTAGATTACCTTGAGTGTAGACAGGTGCATAACCCACTGGCCCCCAGAGTCTTCGGAGAGTTTAGAGTTAATAGAGCAGAAGAAAAAAATGAGTTGTGTGTTTGTGGTTATCGACTGATCGACTTATATTAATCAGATCTGTAACTGCCTTATTAAATAATTAAATAATTATATTATTTATTATCTCTGACTCAGTCAGTTAAGAGATAGGAAATAACTGATGGTTACTGGGTTGTGGGTTGGCCTCTGCCCATTGAGCTCACTTGTGTGGTCCACCTATCACGGTCTACACAAGATCATAAGGACCAATTTACTTGGGCTATCTTCAATTAGACGTGGATGGATCAATGAACTGCTAAGGAGATGCAACGTGTGGCGAAGTCCTAAGGGATTCACAAGGTAATTGGATCTTAGGCTTTCAAAGCAGATTGAGGTTTGTTCCATCTACTATAGCAGAACTTTTGCATTGCATCTGAGTCTTAAGCTTTGTAAGCGTTATCAGGTGAATAAAATTGTCTATCATTCTAACTCTTTGGAAGCTATTCACCTGATCCAAATGGGTAGGGGTCTTAATCATCCTTTAAGACTTGACATTACAGAGATATAAAAGCTGATTGTCTTAGATTGGGAGGTTGAGATTCATTAGTCTAACCATGAGATTCATAATGGGTTTTTTATTTCTGTATTTTATATGAACCTGTTGCTGGATACATGGCCTATTTAGAGGCTGATAAACAATTTGTAACTTATTAATTAGTTGTATCTCCAAGTCTTCTGACCTGTCTTTTAATATTAAAAAAAAGATATAATGCGAAGAGAAGAAATAAGGAAAAATCATATCCAAAGATTGATTAAAAAAATTTGTTGTTAAAAAAGATCAAATAATTTTGAAATTATTTTGCAGAATTAAAAAATATAAATGTAATTAAAATTTAGTATGAGAAGAAAAAAGTAATCCTCATTTTTTTTTTTGAAAAATTTCCCACCGGTGTTATAGCTCCAACATCAATGACCATTAATTAAATTTTTAAAGTGGCTAAGAAGAGTTTTAAACCCATAACTTTTTGATTACCAAAAGAATTAATAGTCATTAAATTATCAATACTTTCTAATAATATAGTTTACAAATTTATATACATTATACACTTTGTTTTTATTTTTTAAACCATTACTTGTTAAAAACGTAACTCAATTTATCATTTTATAAATAGTTACTTATTAAATTATTAATAAAAATTTATTAAAAAAATTAATTTGCACTAATTTTTATATATATTTATTTATTTTCATTACTAAAGTCAAATTATCAAAAGTTAATATGAATTTATTATTTTAATAAAATTTATCAATTTATTAAAAAAAATTGTTAAAGATTGAGGTGAGAATCTCATTTAAGGACTAATATAGGTAGTTATTTTCCAAGTAGGTCTAAGAAACACGACAAATACACTGTACGATACGAAGTGCCTAATTGAAATGATCTTTCTCTGCAAAATACCCACTCTCTCTTTCTCTCGGTCGATGAGGGAGACGATGCGGTTGGTTTCGGGGTCGCAGGCGACGGTGGTACCAGTCTCAACAATCGGTGGCCGGTTTGCATGATGCGAGGATCCAACTTTTTTGATTTTCTTTACACTAAAATCACATTCCGTTGCATTTCAAGATAATCACCACTAATACCGCAGCACAGAGCAGTGGTTACAGCATGGATGGAAGCCGCTCAGCGAAGATGAAGAGAGCTCAGTTGAAGAGATAAGAGTCCAGACCTCGACTTTCTGTCTCCTTTTCTTACTTCTTTCTCACTCGCTTCGTATCCTGCGGATTTGAGGTGCCTGCGCCTCATATTTTACTTTTCGGTCTATTGCAAGTTTCATCTCACTTTCGATTAGAACTCCGATAGAAATGATTTCATATCGGTCGTCTTCCGGTGGCAGCGCCGAGCATGTTTAGCTGGTTCAGGGGCGAAAATTTGCGCAAAGAGAGAGTGAATGTTATCGGGACTCGAGAGCTTATTCTTTCAAGTTAAACATTTGAGTTTTTGGTTATTTCGCAGGGAAAGATAATTTCAATTGGGTGCACAAATCCTGCAGTATATTTTCAAAGTTTATTAGGTGGAAAATTCTCCCAAGATTTAATAGGCGCTAGCTGTTTTTATAAGATAAAATGTATCGGTCAAATGTTTAATCGAATTTATTACTCTCTCTTATTTTATTTATAAATTATTTTTAATATATTTTATTAAAATTTAAAAAATTTTAAATTTTATTTTAAAATTTCATAATTTTTTATCTTTATTTGTAATAAATATTTTTAAACTTTATTGTTAACATTTTTATTAATAAAGATAAAAATATAAAGAAAAGCATTAAAAAGTAACAAATATTTTATAAACAAAATTAAATTTTTTTACTCTCTCTGTCTCATAGGTAAGGTTTATTAATGTTTACTTGGACATCCAACAATGTTAACAGATTTCCTTCAAAAACTTGATACTATAAGACTTGATTGATTTTTATTTTCATTTCTTATTTTTTAAAACTGTTTGGTAATATTATTTTTAAAATTATTTTTCAAAACAAAATAAAATAAAAATCAATTTGATTATATCAATTAAAAAACAATTTGAAAATTAAAAAATAAACTAATAGTAATAATTATAAATAATTAATAATAGTAAATGATGATTAATAATAAAAATTAATAGAGGTAACTATAATTTCTAATAATTAAATATAATATATTTTAAAAATACAAAAAATAAAATGAAAACAATTTAAAGTTGTTTCTATTTTTTGTTTTTAAAAACAAAAGATGAAAATAATTTTGAGAACAATTAAATAAAAAACATAAATCAAAACAAGCTTTTAAACTTTTTATTTTTTAAAAATAAAAAAATAGTTTTTAAAAACAAAAAACAAACATATCTATAATTTTTTTAAAATAACAAGTTCTCATATTATTTTGACAAGGTACACTTTATGAGAATTTTCTTTTTGGTAAATAAGTTCTTTATCTAAGACTCAAACGTGGTTTTCCCAATCAAAAAACCAGTGAACCTGCTCCAGTGCCAAATTAAAAGGGTGCATCAATCAAAGATTAGAATCATATTTCTCCTTTATGCACAAATATTCTACAAAGAAAATGTCAAATGCTCGCGGAAATCAAAACAATACCCTCGAATTAACCAAAGCCTACCTAAATGTTGAACAAGGATCATACACCAGTAATGTACAAGCTTGCCGCAAAAACTATGTCACGCTTAATTGCATTAGAAGCAACTTCCATTTTCTTGCAGAGAGCAGAATTACCCATAATCGCTGCAGCATTCTTAAACTCTCGACACGTCTCGTCTAGTCTCACGATGGTCCTCACTATCAACCCTTCAGGAACATCGGTGAGCTCACAGATCTCTGCAAATGGAGTACCCTGCAAATTAAGAAACATGCCTTCAACCCATCAGCTTTACTCCAGCAAGGCAATGATGGAACTCACAAGGGATGTTTTTTTTTTTCCTTCCTATTATTATTTATTTATTTATTTTTCTAACCTTTGCCCATTCATAAACCACTTCAACTAGACCAAACTTGAGATTTTCTTGGGCATATTCTTCAGGATCTATTGGTAGTCCTTTCTGCACTTGAAGTTGTCCAAGTCTTATTGCCGTACTGTGCAATCTGAAATCAAAGCATCCAAAGTTAAAAATAGTTTCTGTGTGTAATTAGAATTTCCAAGGGATTTTAAAGCAACGAAATAAGACAAAGTAGTTACAGTTCTAAAAGCAGAAAAAATATATACTTAATTTTGTATACTTGAAGTACTTGTTTCCTATTAAATCAAGACATATAGATATTTTATTTATTATTTATTCTATAATGAAAGTTACTTGTCTTGATTTAATTTGATAAAAGTATAGTATGTATGTAAGGCTAAGTACCTCAATCTTACCCTTCTAAAAATCAGTAAACCTTATATTTAGTAGCTCATAAGTCATAACCGTCTGTGGGTTAAATTTAAAGCCTGGTTAAAGTGGTTTATATTTTAAAATCCTTCTCCAGTCACCCTCAGTCTTACAAATAAAATTTCAACTTACTGTTATTTCTTTAGGGCCAAAATAATTTCACTTACTATTGATTTTTACCCCAAAATAATATTGTAAATACTTTTTAAAAAAGAAAAGAGATAATTGCATCCAGTCAATTCCATGAGTAGTAATCAGGATATCATCAAATGCCAAAAATGAAAATTTAAGCTAATCTATGACACAGACAATGCCTGACATTACAATTATTTTAAACATAGGCATATTTCCAAGTAATGTAAGGTGGACGAATGAGAAAGACTTCAGAAAATAGACCCAGTTGAAGAACGTACTTATGTTTTGCCTGTGACAGCTTGGACGTAAGTGAAGGTTCAGAAGTGTTCTTCTGCTGGAACACAAAAGCTGACATTAATGCCACAGCTTCCTCCGGTTCCAGTTCATCCAGTTGATTCTCAAACAAGCACTCAGTGCAAATCAATTCTTCACCAGAGTTCATCTCACAGGCAACACGACCTTTCATTTGTACAACAAAATCATCATCTATGCAACCAATTTCCTTCAGAACATCAATCTGCAAAAATAGATTACTAAAGGTTGTATCGGATTGAATTCAAAATAACATACAGCAGAAAATATCAATAATAGTTACTGAGAAATGAGATATCACATAAATGAAAATGTACCCGGCCCTGAAAGTCTGGCATCTGTTGAAGTGCTTCGTCTGAAATTTTAAATTGAAGATCATTGACCTCTTCTTTGTGCTTTTGGATGTCTTTCGCTAACTTAATGTGCTCTTGCAATTTTATACACCCATGACACTGATTCAGGGTCATCTTCTCCAATAATTTAGTCCATTTGTAGTATGTGTCCACGAGTTCAACATCCTTCAACTTAAGATCTACGTGAAAAAGGTATATTGCATTACCAGTTCTTGGGAAAGAAAATATTTAAGCCACTCATTGTGGTTTAATTAATAGTGAGAGATTTGGATAGCTTGGAGGAGGTCTGAGGTTTAAAGCAAAATTTGATTAAGTATTAGAACAAGACAAACATCATTATCCATTACCAAGCAACCGTTCAAGAAACTTACATAGAAACACAAACAACACATATATCATAGCCTATTCCCAAATGAGTATTAGGAAAGCTTGAAATTGTGTTTTATTAGCGACCTTTCTCATGTTTTGAATATTTGAAAACTGATCGAGCTCACATTTTACTAAGACCTATAAGAGGAAAGCAAGGAAGGCAATGAACTTAGAAGATAACATCATTGCCAGTTCAGATGTTTACCCTCTGGATCCTGGTTATAAGGGAAAGTAATTGATGGCCTAGTGATGTTTTAGAGTCCTAGTGATGTGTTGAGAGTCTTCTAGGGGTAAGGGCTGTGTTAGAGTCACTTTTTGGGTCTTTAAATCTTCCTCCTTGCCTAGAGAGAGGGGTGTGGAGTATTTTGAAAATTGTGAGTGGTGAGGAGAGCTCTGACCTCTCGAATACCAGATTGGGGTGGAGGAAGATATCTTTCTTCATCATTTGTTCATGTGTAACTTATGTTTTTGTTGCTGTATTGGGTTGGATTTTGTGTTGTTTCATGTACTCTGTACTTTTAGTTCCTTATTTTGGTGGTAATACAACTCCATTATTCTGTTTAGTCCCATTTTCTGTGTATTTTTCTGCATTTTTGCTTGTTTTAAGTTTATTAGCATAGAGGGTTCCATCAAAAACCTACATGTAAGACACAAACGGATGAGGTTTGTAAGAAATTCATGATTAACAGTTAGGTCATGACATATCAACAACAATAACAATCCTTATCCTACTAATTGGTCAGCTGCATGGATCACATAACATCATTGTGCTCCATTCACAACCAACTAGGTCATGACTCATCAAACATGAAAATCATACATGTGATTTTAAGGGGGAACCAGAAAAACTACAGTTTCAAAAAGATAGTAATTGATCATAGAGGCAGATGCATATGTATTTAATAACACAAAAGTTTAAAAAGGTAGGCCAGTTTTCACTTTCAAATATAATTATGAAATTATGAATTGAATTTTAGAAATGCAAAGTCTCCAAACTTGTTTGACCAAAATTTATCAAGTTTGAATATGCAAGTGAAGATGGAAATAATGATTAGGAAGTCTAACAAATCTATGACAACAACTAGAACAACATTTTTAAATAAGTTCGATTATCACAAGGATTAGAACATCACTGGGATCAAATCTATTGTCATTTAATCAGCTCATAAAAAGAAATGCAAAAGACTAGTAAAAGTGAAGCAGTGATTGAAATAATCACAGGCTAAACAACATGGACTTGCTATTCATAACAAAGTGGACCAGTTTTATTATGATAAAAGTAAAAGATTCATTTTTCCATTAACTGGTAATACCTTTCACAGGATCCAGGGGTGGAGGGTACTTGTTTCCATCTGACCTTAAATCCAGGAGCATCTGAACAGTCTTGGAGTAAACAGCATTGCTAACATCTTCAAGAAGTCCAACCTGGTCAACTTTCATTTTTTTATTGCAAATGCATTGAAATTCTTTACTATCAACTCCTTGAACCTCATAACTCATTCCACTAACATAACCATGATGTGGCAGTGTGATGTTGATAACACCTGTTCCTCTACGAGCTGAAACAGAGGTATGATATTCATCTCCAAAACCACGTTTAGATTTAGGCACCACAAAATAACCCTGGTTGAAGTCACTGGGTTTATCTTGCACATTACCCCTACTTGGGGCATTTTCCACTGGAGGAGGCAAATCAGGCCTGAGCACTAAAATAATATATTGCTTATAATTTGCAGAAGGAGCTTTCACAATCACACCAAGCAGGTGATCCTTGGCCTGCATAAATAATCTTAAACGTTGAGCTACGCATTACCCAATCAAATGGCTGAATACCCAGGCTAGATTCCAAAATATAAAATAATAAATGCATACGTTACAACTCAAAAAGTATACCACGTTATCCCAAAAAACTTCTGTTAGAAAGCTTGATTAGGTTCTGAAAGATATATAATAAAAACAAATGGCCGTCATTTCTTTGGCTAGCATTCTTTTTCTACTGCTTTTTCCTGTGACTAAAATGTTTTCCAGTCGCCTTTCTTTTGGATTGGAAACAATCAGATAATACTGAAAACCTTCAAGTTGACATATTACCAGTGATAAAATAATGGGCAAAGCACCTAAACACCCTCTCCAGTTCTGGTGATATCCCACATGCCAATGCATTGTGACACTGATACAACCAATAAAGACACTAGCATGCTCATAAAGAGTAAACAAGTCCTCCTAATGACCTCATTTCTGACTTTGGTTTGGCACGTATCACAATGTTTTTGGTGTTGAGTCCAAGCTTTTCTCGTGTATTTCTTGATTTAGAGTCCTTTTATGATTTTTTCTAGATTTGTTTTAGTTTAAGATTCTGAATAATATTTCACAAGGTTTTAGCTTATGAATTGGAACCTCGGTTCTCTAATCAGAAAGGGGTGATTGAAGATTTCAGCACTAGATTGCATGTTTGTTGCATGTTTATAATGAGCAATCCATTTAGGAAAGACTGAGGAAAATGTTAGAGAGGCCCTGATGGCAAGCAAGTCAAGGAATTCTAGACTTGTGTCAGCGTGTTAGATCTTGTGGCTGCAGAAAGTAGTTGGGAGAATGTGAGAGGACTGCTCATGGGAAGGTCAGAATTCTGGGAGCTCTTCGTCTACTGAGGATTTTACTGAAAGTCATGTTTGTGATAATATTTGGGCAACCTTGTAAGTCATGATGTTTTTGTTCGGTGATTATGTACTGAGGAGCTTTGTCTAACTTTTTAGGGTTCCAAACCTGAATTGGCTTGTCTCTATTATAATTGAGTTTTGTTTGAGGGAGAGCCAAATAATAGTGACTGTGATGGCTATGTTATGTCAAGTGTGCAAAAGATTAGTTGGCTTTGGACTTGGCCTAGTACTACAAGTACGATCCTTTGCACTTCAAATAATTTACAGGTTGCAAATATAAAATAGATACACAAGACGCCTGGCCAAGTAAGTCACTGGACCTTGTTTAGTGTTTTACTTTGTTTCTTTACAGTGTGCATAGCAAGTAACTAATTCCTTATACTAGAAAGGGAAAAAATATGTAATTCATTACAGTGTTTTACTTCATCCATCTTACATACCATTATTAAGTTTTCTTCTAGAAAAATTACTTGAACAAAACCTTGTGCATCTACTATGCAATTCGATAAGTTCACAGGTGTTATGAACTTGACAAAGATAAAATGATACCAATGTGATACGCATAACTAATTGTCGCAACTCACTGATTCTGATTTTACAACTATTACTCTTCCAGGAGCAAGAAATTGTTGGGCACTCGACAACTGCAAAATTGCATCTGATATTTTGCTGCTGTACTTCTCAGCTTCAGAGTATGTCTCATAGTATTCCTCAATGGTTGGCTCACCCTTTATGCATCTAGATTTGTTTTTAAAGAAAAAAATACAGCATTGCAAGAAAGAAAATTAAGTTAATAGAATTTATTGGCGAGGAGAACTGTACAAAAAATAGAGAAGAGATCCTCCCCAAACAAATAAAAAATTGGAAAATAACCAAAACCCTTGACTCAAGAGCATTAAAAATTCATAAGAACAAAATAAGAGTTAATACGTTAAACTTTCTTATGTTAGCCCTTTTTCCCCCTCGTTTAATTATGGGGCATAAGAAGTTAAGTTAGCAATAAAGAGTTAAAAATGAAGATTAGAATTTCTCCTATAGTAGCCAAAAAGAGAAAATAAAGCATAGTAACCACAAAAAAGGCATCCGCTCTACCTATAAATTTCAAATTTGCCAAATTCAAATCCAAATTTAAATCCCCTACATCCAAATGCAGCATTAGTTCTTTTGTTTGGGAAGCACCTCTTGCCATCCACATCTTTACTTGTTTCATACCAATATCCCTACGATTCAATTATCTTTTTAATTTAAAAAAAAAAAAAACATGAACATCATAATAATAACAGCAAGTTTGTAAGATGAAAGGCCACAAAAATAGAAGTCTTATATTAAAATATTCATGAGAAGAATAAATCAACATTTTGCAATGACATACTCAATAGCTTTTGTAGGCTGATTAAGCTTTCGCTTCAAAAGTTCTTGCATCTCAGGTAGTTCTTTCTGAGCATGGAATTCAGCAAAACTTCTTTTAAGCATATCTTCTACCTGCAGCTCAATTTTCACATAACTTAGAATAACAATTGTTCATTTGGGTCAAAGTGAAAAAAAAAAAATAAATTATCAACAGCATTTAGCAAGAATAATAATATTAAAAGCAATAGGAATCTTCTTTATGCTGAAAAGATTTCAATCTTCAATTTTTATTTACAATGGAAAAGAATAGACATCACAATTCACACCACAAACAACCAGTTACAGAGATAAAGTAGGGACAATGAATCATTTTTTTCATCTACAAAATCACTCTTTTTCATTATCTTCTCTTTCCATCAATTTTCATTGTGTACCAAATGAGGCCTTGTGTCCTTCTTGTGCCTTTCAGCTACTGCTTTTATTTTTGCTCCGCATCTTTTGTGGATTTAGAGGCATTGGATAAACCTTCTGAGCAAAAGATTGTGCAGTTTCTTCTCTTGTTTCATACGGTCCATTTGCTCTCCATTTTTATTCCATTTTCTTTTCCCCTCAATAAATTCTCCTGTCTATCCAAATTTAGATACGATTATGAAACATATAATGAGGTACGGATTAAATTAACAGATCTTCATAACAGAGGATTGTTTCAACTTCAAAAGACAATGGGAAAAATATTCCCCCTTCAACCCCCAATCCCTTTTTGGGTTTCTTCTCATGATTTAGAGAAACCATTAACTGTTCATGAAAAGTCTCACTCAAATCTAATAAACTATAAAAGAGAAGCTATAAGAAAGTAGAACCGAATAACAACAGATTGTCAACAATTTGCTTCATCAATTTAACATAATTGCCATCTATCTACACTTATAATAGAAAACCCTGGGTTGTCTTCATCTGCTTATTGTCTTGCTTCCCTAAATTCCTAAATGGTCCTAGTTTTATTCAAATGAAGGTAATAATAGATTGTGATAAGAAACAGCTCCAGAAATCTTATTAATCTGATACAAATCTAACCAGAGAATTGGTCTTGGTGAATTCTACAGCTATGATTCTGGAAATCAAAGGGGGAAAACTTGGAAGCAAACATACGATACCACTCATTTCTATGCATTTGAGAAGCATGGATATCAGAAGAATCAAGGAGAAAATAGAAAGAGAATTGAGGGAGATATAGATACAGCAAAATACTGAATATTATTCAATAGGCAAAAAGTCAATACAAATGAATAATCTTTTCTTCCAAGATAAAGCCATTACTCAAATCATTTAAACCAAGATATTTTAAACCTAGATAAGAATAAAGATAAATCTTAATTCAAAATGAAATAAATCCTAAAACTTAAAATAAAGATTACTGACAAGCATAAAATCAATTTAAGTGTATCCTAGGCTTTCCTACTCTAGTCGTTGTCCTCCATGCTCCATGACAACCCCAACCTTAGACACCCCATATGTTAGTTACCAGCTCAGCCCATTAGCCAAGTGTCCAACAAATTGAAAACAAGTAAAGGTTACAGTAAAATTAAATAAATATTTTAAATCATTACAAGCCATTCCTCTCCCACTCTCCTATGCTTGTATTTATCTTCCCACTCTCTCCTCCATTTTTCAATATTCTCTACTTCACTCATATTCTGGCTACCAATATTCACATTTAAATTTTTTGGAGTGCACATACATTCCAAGTGCTCATCATTTGTAGTAGTTCATATAAAGAACAGGGACTAATGGTTTTGCACACCTTCAATTCTTCAACTCGAAGGAGATGGAGGATCATAATAAAGGTAAGTCGAAATTGAGATTCAAGGCGGGTTGCATTTCCAGTAATAACATGCTTTAAATCCCTATCTTCAGGGATTTCATCACGGCACATTAGAATAACAGTACCAATCTTATCAAGACCTCTTCTTCCAGCACGACCAGCCATTTGAGTATATTCTCCTGGTAGTAACTGCCTAAATTCCTTGCCATCAAACTTCCTTAAAGTATCAAAGACTACCTGGAAAAGCATAATATACAGTTTATGTCCACAATAAGACAAATTTTGTCAAAAGATTAAGCAGCAAGTCCTTCAGGCTTGAATTGTGGATGAAGCGCAAGCCTATCTATGGTGTAAATTTAAGAAATTATAAGGACTGGGGGTGACAGATCAAACTCCGAGCCACTTGGTTATAGAGATTATAATATCATGTCAAAGGCCATTGCAACTCAACTTATTACTAAGGCTTGACCAGAGATTTTTTTTCTTTAATAAATTTCTAACATAGTCAAATAAGCAACTGATACTAACAAGATGCATTCCGGCAAACACTAAGAAAGAGCTAAAACAATTAGTGAAACTTAGAAGAAAAGAAATGCAAACATCAGATTTTAGACCTAGTTGAGCTTTTAGTGTAAAAGCAATATGCATATCCAACTTTAGCATCATCCTTGACAAGAGACTTACTGTTCTAGCAGGAGCATTGACACCCATTGCAAATGTCTCTGTTGAAAACAAAACCTATAATATTAAGGGGTAAAAGGGAGAAAAAAGATTGAACACTGTCAGATATTACTCCTAAAATCATCCAAGTAAACAACAGCCAGGAAAAAGAACAAGGTATGACTCACAACATACAAAAGCATTCTGCATTCCAATAAATAAAACTTTTATATAAATTCTTAAACAGCCATGAACTTTGTACAGAATGTAGGTTACTACCTTGATAACACCACGGCAAAATAGCATTTCAACTACTTCCTTTACAATTGGAAGAAGGCCAGCATGATGCACACCGATCCCTCTATGAAGAAGATTCTGGACTCGAACCACCTGTCAAAATAAATAAATTAGTAGCCAAGCTCATGTGAAAGAAAGTTCAGCAATAAATCACCAAACCTGTGGTAAATTCCTGTCAGATCCTTTCAGCCTTGAAAATGCTTTATCACAAAAGACACGTATTTCACTTTTCTCTGAGCTACTAGTTAGGTCAGTTCCAGTCATGTTATCAGCTGATTTATCACAGCGATTCTTAGAAAAGCAGAATATGACCACCTGCATCAAGTTCCGAAGGCAAATGTAACATTGTGAATGATAAAGAAGTAACGAAGAAAAGAAAAAGGGATCTCCACATAATTCCCTAAAAAGATCAGCTCCCCTTGTGTATCAATCATGAATATTTACATGGCTATCATGCATTGTTGTTTTAAACATCACAAAACGGTAATGCAAGAAATAATTGCATTGAAGGAATGACACTGCTTTTCCAAGTAATTAAATAGACGTTTAGATGCATGCCATAATCCTTTTTACTCTTTACCCTGCACAGGGCTCCTTTGTTAAATTACCCAAATTATGCGGCCCCCATGATCCCAATTTCAGTTAAATAAAACTGAGATAAAGTATAACTGAGTAATTAAGTATATTTTCAGAACCTATTTCAACATACAGGCAACAGTGACTTTTTGGAGAGCTTGTTAATAAGCATCAACCACATAGAAGATTCTGCCCTCCTGAGTTCCCAGTTGTTCTGGCCATTTACATTATTCTGATAGCCTCTAGAAGTTTTGGAGAAACTACTTCCACGTTTAACTCGTGCTGCATTTTCACGTTTTTGAACTTGAGTACTCTCATGACCTGCTGATGTCCCTGAATATCGTCCAGAGCCACCACCAACAGCAGTTGAATGCTTCTTGTTATATGCATCCTTAGCAGCTTTCAGTCCCTGAGGCAGAAATGCTTCACTTTCACAAATTTTGTAAAGTTCTCCAGAATAAAACAGGCAGTGCTCCAATGGGACAGGTCTTTTTGTTGTCCTGAAAGCAAAATTGATTGTTACATCAGGAAATAACAAAGCAATCAAGAAATCTTATGAGGGTATTATTCAGGGCACCATCCAAGGAAATTTCAGTCGTACATCAGTCATGTTTTAAATTGTCACATCTTCAACAAATCAAAATTAGAGACCATTTGTATGCAATGACAAAATTTATCCATCTAATAAATTATAAATCAAGGAGGATATGATGTTTAGTAAAGCCAGATAATTTGATTTAAGACTTTCCATTGTTTGAAACTGAAGGATATCACATATTGAAGAGGATATACCTGATCTGACCCTTTTTTACACTAAAAATTTCAAGTAACAGGTGATTAAATCAAATATGATTGTGATGTTATTCTATATTATTCTTTTGTTTCCAGAAAGGTATGTTTTTAAAACAATTTTGAATTTTGAATCCACAGGATAACTCTCAACAGACCACACTCCATAAGTAAGATGACTTAACTACTTACCCTGTAACCCGGATTTCCTTTTGCTTTGTCCGACCAATCCAATCAGCAAATTCAACCGTGTTAGGTACCTGAGAAATGTTTGTTCAAATAAAATAAATACAGTTATCACAAAAAAAAAAAAAAAGCTTTGCTGAGGCATAAAAAGGAAAACGGATAGCCACTTAGCCAGTCAGAATATACATGACATGAGTACCAAAAATGAACTGAATATGCAGACAAATATAATAATAGGTCACATGGTCAAAACATGATTTCTCCTGAAGAAGTAACGAACTACAAGGGAGTCAGCATAAGAAATTTAAGTGCCATTGCAGCAAAACATCAAGCAAAAGTCCCCCAAGCATGACATTGGCCACTAAGGAAAGATATCAGGAAAATAATCACCGTGGCTGAAAGGAGGATGATATTGATGTGTCTTGGAAGCATTATAATTACTTCTTCCCAAACAACACCTCTTTCAGCATCATTGACATAATGCACTTCGTCAAATATAACCTACCACATTTATGCAGCAAATAAATCAACAAATGAACATAAATTATTCAAATTAACTAAGAATAATAGATTGACAGTTTTAAAATATTTACAAACTTATATAAAGAAAAGTACAAGGTACTGCTGGCATGACACCAGAGAAAAGTCCCTTACCCATTCAATATCCCGAATAATATCTGCACCTCGATAGAGCATGGACCTTAAAATTTCTGTGGTCATGATGAGACAAGAAGCCTCTGGCCTCAAGGTTACATCACCAGTAAGCAGCCCAACATCAAACTTCCCACAGAAATCCCTATATTTCTGATTGCTGATTGTTTTTATCGGAGCAGTATATACAGCCCTAGTGCAATGCTGCATGGATGAAGTTTGAACAAAAAATTTGAAATCAATTCAAGTTTTTCTCTAGATAAATTAAGGTTAAGCTAAAAGGAAAAATTATGGAGCATGACAAGCCTGGTCTAAATAATAGGATACCATCATAGAAGAATTAGAGTGCTTTGATAAATAAACAGTGGCATTAAATCGCCATGCTCTAACAAGGTTTTGCATAACAACATTCATTGCTTCATGCAACTACCCTGCTAGGATGGGAAAAGAAAGGAGAAAGAAAACCAAGTACAAAAATCAAGTAATACCTTTGATGCTAAAGCAAATGCATATTCTGCCACCACCGTCTTTCCAGCCGATGTGTGAGCAGCAACAAAAACAGATTCCCCCTTCTCAAGATAATATATAGCCTGCAAATGTTATATGGAAAGGGAAAGAAGGAAAATCATAGGAAAAGAAAAATATCCATATACATATATATATGCATGAGCAATTCTATTTCTTCGTCCCTTGATATTCTTTTGACATTTTAAGAGGAGATAAAAAAAATGTATTAACATGCTGCCAGGTGGAAACTCCAACGAAATATAATTTCTCCAATAACAGTTGCCTCATTTAGATAATACAATCATGTAAAATACAGACACAGCTACTCCAAGTGCATATGCAAAATGTAAAATCCAAAAGACAAACGTTTTAAAATTACCAAGACCATCAATTACCTTCAAGAATAAAGATTATTAGAGACAACAGATATTTATAGGAAGCACTGATACTCCAAAAACCAAAGATGCATCTGATGCGGCTTGGAAGATTTCAAATATGTCAGTACATTTAGAAATAGTCTGAAACAGTTCAAAACATTATATAGAATCATAGTGGTGTAAATGGAAATGAAGATTGACATTTAATTCAAATGGAAAACTCTAGTGGTAGATTGTTTATAGGTAGCTTGTTACGGACAGCTATTTTATATTTGAAATTTTTGTTTAAAATTCAATCTTCCTTTCATGCTGTATAACTTTTATGTTTAAATTTGTTGGATATACATCATGCGCAAGTAATTAAGAATTTGACCCTTGCTGCCATATTCCTAATTAATCTGACATCATTAACAAGGTATGGTGTGTTTGTGCTTTAGTCCACACTTAAAGCCCAACCAGTTTTCACAAAGAGATATTTAGAGAAAACCACTTATGAGGTTTCTCCTATTAGCTTAACTATTGGAGATGAAAATATGATGAATTACAGAGTCATAAAGGGAAGTGAGAAGAGAATTTGACGTAGAACAAGGAAGAAAAGGGAGAGAGGGAAAGAGGAAAAAGGGAGAAGAATGAGGGAGAAAGAGATAATAATAACTTGACAAATTCAAATCATCAATTGCTACCAAAAAGAATAAGTGATAACCTATGGTTATTTACAGGAAGCCCAAAACATGATAATTTAAATCAAAGGAAGCATATTAAAGGAAATAACTCAAGATAAAAGAAAGCCCAATAAACAAACAAAAATAAAGTGATAGAATAAACGACAAAAAGCATAAAATAAATCTCCAAATGTTCCATCATCCCACCCCAGCCTTTTTAAAAGAACTCTTCTCAAAAGAGGAAGATTGTTGATAGGGCTTCAACAAGGCAAGATCTACGCAAAGAAACTCTTCATTGATCAAAGTAGCATCGAAATCTGAACACCCTTCCAACAAACAAGATGAGAGTGGAGGGGGGATGAGGAAAGAGAATACTCCAATGATCCACAAACTTATCAATTTTCCCAGTAGGTAGAGCATAAGTGGTTTGCAATAATTCAATGAGATTTTAACAACAAAAGCATGAAAGGAACAAGAAGAACCTTGCTTTGATGCCAAATTGATGGAGTATAGGGAAGAAATTGAGGGGAAAAGAGAAAGAGAGAGACATTCAGTTGTATTTGGATGACAAGGATAGGTTAAGCCCCAACATTCAGTTATATTTTCATATAAGGGGTATAACATAACTTAAAAGGTCGGTGTCATACTAGTTTCCACCAATGAGCAGCCGCTATAGGAGGAAGAATAAAATTCTTAAATATATTGCAGTGCTATTTTCCATTTAAAAAGGGGCATTGCCATATTTTTAGTTTCTACATCAGCAAGATACGTATGCCTAAGGATAAATAAAAAGAGAATTATCCTCAGCCAATACCTCCTTCTGAAATGCATCCAATTCAAAGGGAAACTGAAGTGCCATATCAGGAATAAGTTCATGGAAGTGATCTATAATTCCTTTGGAACCTCCACGATGTGCCCAAGCCTGCCAAGAGATGAACTTTGAAATAAACATCAAAGAAACCACAACGCATTAAAAGACACACCAAGTGCGTAACTGCAGATGGAAACATTCATTCACAATCACTTACCTCCTTTTGCTGCTGTCCACCATCACTAGATCCATCTAAAAGTGGCTTTGATCCTTCTGATTTAGTTGACAGTACCTCATCTAATGAAAATTCATCCTCATGCATACTGCTAGATCCCTCAGCCTTATCAACTTCAGCTTCCACTATAACAGGCTCCACTTCTGATAAGCAGCCTTAACAAACACAATCATTATTATCCATAACAGGGGGAAATAGTTTGGTCCAATGAAGAAATGTACCACATGAAGACACTCGGTCCAAGTTACAAGAGTACAATGCTAGAATTTCCATAAATATAAAATGCATGTCAAAAGATGTGAAGTTATAAAGAGATTACCGGGGCTAGTAAAGATACCATCTTCCTCCTGTTCTTGAGTAACACCATCCTCCCAGGCCTTCTTAAATAAGTCATCAAACTGTAGGGACAACTCACTCTGTATTTCAACATCAATTATTGGTTAATTTGAGATAGCTTATGATGTCAATGATTGTATATAATGTTATAAATAAAAAAAGCACATCTGTACACTGAAAATCTCTCTAATCCAATAATCCAATAAATTCCATAATAAGAGGTCCAAAAGAGTTACATGACTAAAAGAATGTAAAATATGAAGCTTTTCTTCCCGAGAAAAATGGACAGAGCACAATGGTTAACTAACCAGTTTTTCATCTGATGAGCTCTTAAGCAAACTGACATCCTTGTAAACATTCCACGAGCAAGGATAGGGCTTTAAATAAAGCAAAATATAACTTGCATCAAAATACAAACTACAACAAGTTGATACAATATTTTAATGAAAAATAGTTTTGAATAAAACAATAAAATGATAAAGAAAATTATAACCTTAAATGCTCCAAGGTCCAACCCTTGTTTAAAGCCTGGAGGGATCATCTGAGGAGGGCCGCCATTCAAAATTTCACGCACCCACTCACCAGTAGAAGTACCTTCTGGAATAATTCTGTCTAAAGTTTGCGAGTTATCGAAACCTCCAGGGCGAAAAGGGCGATTATTGATGCTTCCCCTTACAAAATCCTTAGCAGATCCAGAGGCACGGGGTAATGGCCCAGAGTCTTCATCTCCTAGCATCAATTCTGACACATCCACCTAATGATACAGAATTAGCAAAGTCAAACTAAGCCGGACAAGCCTCACAAAATAACAACTCAAAACATTTTTCCAACATCTTTTAAATATATATTTCCAATGTTGAAGAAAAATTTGCTGCTTCATATCCTTCCGTCAATGAAAATGGATCATCCACAAAAGAACACCAATATCACAACCTCCCAATGGGAGACATGATGAAAGGAAAGAATAACTGTAACAACCGTCCCTAAAGGTATTGCAAAGCAGATGATTATGACAACACATGTATATAAAATACATAAGATACCTCCTCAGATTTTGGCTCCCATTTTCCTTGCTCTGAAACATTGTTTTGGCGTCGAAATGGTGGTTCCCAAACAGGAACCACGACAGACCGTGGCAAAGATGGCTCCAGAGGCACTTCAGCCCTGTCAAACCAGTCAAATTCCCACTGCCTCCCAACTCTCTCGGGTGAAAATTCATCAGGGTCCAATCTTGGGCTGAGATATGTCTGTTCAATATACTTCTTTATAGATTCAGGTGTCTCCTCCGGAAATGCGGGCGGCTGAAGTCAAAAAGGAAAAAATTACAAAGAATACGGCCTCATTATGCGTCAGGAGGCGGGAATTCAACTTCGTTTCAAGAATCTAAGTTGATGAAAAATAACTAAGTAACAAAGAAGCCACTGTTCAGGAATTCAGCTACTGGGCTGCAAACTTTACAATTTATGCTTAGGTAATGCAACTTCTGCTCACCCAAATAGCAGAGATACTATGAAAAAAACAAAACAAAAAAATACTATACTGATTAAAAGTTAAAAGTAAACATACGCAGAAAAGAACCGAAGCACAAGAAATTGCAATGAATGAAAATTTAAATTATGTTACATTTGGCACACTACCAGCGACATTATAACAAATCATGCACCCAAACGCAAACCGCAGAGTTAAAAATGGAGTTAACTAAGAGAAGAAGATCGAGGTACAACGATTGACCAGGATGAAATCAGGAAGCGAACTCAACGGGTTGGAACGCTCCACCGTCGACAGCGGCTCCACTCGGAGGTGCCCACTGTGACCGGTAAACCCGACCCGAAAAGCAAGCTCTTGCGATGCTTCGATTGGATCCATTTTTGCACTTTGCCTAGCATATCCCTCAATGTTGTGACTCCAGGGAAGGAAGGTTTTCGCGGGTTCAGAGGAAGACGAAAGTATTTGTACGCCAAATTGACTTGCGACACTTTCCAGTGAAGGCTGTTCCCTCTTTTTTCCGTTTTTACTTCCCTGAACTCCTTTTATTTTATTTTTTTTATATACATCTTGAATTAACACTCCCTTCATTTAAAAATATAAAATATTTTTAATCAAATTTTACCTTTTAATAAAATAATTATTTACTTTTAAATTAATTTTATTTTTTTATATTTATATTTATTAAATACTCTACAATAAATATAAAGTCATTATCAATAAGAGTATTTTTGAAAAAAAATAATTATATATTAAAAAATTAAAAATGTCTTATATTTTAAAACATTCAATTCCTAAAAAAATATCTTATATTTTCAAAAGGAGGAAGTATATTTTTTGGGATCTGGCAAAAAAAAAATGTATGCCTTGGTCCTATTTATAATTATAAGGCCACAAGAGAAGGTTTTTTTATTTTATTTATTAGTTATATTAGTAAATTTTTATTACAATTTTTTATTTACCCTTTATTAACTTTTAGTGAAAAAAGTATGTTATTAAAGAGTGTGTGTGTGTGTATTTAAGGGTGGAAGGGCAAAAATGTATTATAACTTTTTTTCAAGAGGTGCTTGATATCTTAAATTCTTTTAGAAGTAATTTTATTTCAAAACTTTCAAAAACGGAGAAATTTCATCTTGCTATTAACCTCTACTTTCTATTATTTGTTTCTCCACACTGCTACCTTCTCTGACCTTCCAGTCAATCTTGGACAATCCCAGATTGACAAGCTGATGAGATAATGGTGTAGATTCTTTCTATTTCTATATGGTTGGAACACTTCAACTATAAAACCTTGAATGTGCTAAGGAGGTTTCCTCCAAGGGAGAAAGAAAGGCCACTAATCTTGGATTAGACAGTGTCATTAAAGGAGACATGGCGGCAAGCCAACAAGCACTTACCGAGTGGCAAGCACCAAGAACACTTGGAAGGCATTTCAGCGATAATAATGAATAAGCAATCATCAATTTTTACCATTTCCACAATAAAATATATGCCTTGTTTAACTCAAATCCCAGCTTCCATTGAAAATTTCCATGTCGAAGATGATGACCAATACAAAATCATTGGTCCATAAGGCTTCAAAGCACTTGACTCATCAAATTTTAGTAGCCCTACACTACACCTACAAGGTCATAATGTAGCATGTCACACTAGTAAAGCTAGGTGTAATTCCCCCCTTTTCATATTTTGAAACCTATGTGTATATGGGTGTTGATCTTCATCTCATGCCCCCCTTTGCTCCTTTAACATGCACCATCTCCTTTAATAGTCTCACAATTGAATAATAAATAACCATTATTTAAATTAGCAATACTGACTTATTCTACTTTTATACAATATGTGTATTTAAATGATAAGAGAAATTGTTATAATAGAAGCAATAATATTCATCTAAAATGTAAGTATGAAGTCTTTCATTTTCTTGACATGATGTATCAAATCTTCAATCATACTAAATTGTGATTAATATAAGATATTTACTATAAGACCTTTTAAGTTATAAGACACATATATTTGTACAATTTTTATATAATTATTTATTTTAAAAATATATATTCACCCCTAACCTCAAGTCTTGGCTCCGCTATTGAGCATGTGATTCTTGTAACATCCTCAATTTTAAATCAAAATTTATTAGATTCAAATAGATCAAATATGTGTATTAGTGAGGTATGTGGCTAGAAGGACTTAACTTGGTGTAATTGTTGTGAAATTAGCCCTAAGAAGAGGAGTATATGATAAAATCCACATAGTAAGGTCCATTCGTGTGATGGTTTACCGGATTTATTATATCTATACTGTCCTACTTGTTCAACAAGGGACTATCCCATTAGTTCAAAGAGGGACTCGAATCTAGCTAGCTATCTACCAGTTTAATGAGGAGGCTAGTCTAAGGTGTATGACACCCCCATAGTGTGAGAAATTGGGGAAACCGTGTTCCATAAGTGAATTGGGTGTACCTTGGCCAAATAATCCCCTCACAAGTGTTTAGGCTAGGGAAGTCACTGAATATTGACTATCCCATTAAGTTCTAGCCCACAATTTAATGTCAGAGGAATAAAAAGGATATAAGGGAGGTGTGATTATGCATGTAGTGAGCATTTGTCTATATGGTGTCCCTAATGATGATATTATGAGTTGAGTCTTAATTTCTTCCAATGTAATTGTCAATGAATTGTGTGATCAACTCTCTTTATATGAAAAGTACTAAAAAGCATTATTTCTCAAGTAAATGCTATTATGTGAGTAGAATTGTGAATACCTATTTTCAAATGTTTTAAATAGGTTAAAGTATTGACATTAACTACCAGTTGCATTTAAACTAATTGACATATATTAGTATGGGTTAGTCAGACCTTAGTTACTGAATAGTAGTACTCACCCCATTATCTTCAATATACTAGGGAATAGTTCAAGAAGTGTGGACAGAGAAAAACACTTAGAGGCTTAGGATCACGATCCTTTTGTAGTAAGCTTCTTTATTTTGAGTAAACTTATGTGTATAACAATTTCAATTACCAATTAGGAATTCTCATTTGTTCTTTACTTGCATTAAATTGTAATTGTATTTTGGGCCTTAGGGAGTGAGTTGATGAACATGTGTTATTTGTGATAGAGCTAAAATACTAATGCAAGTAAGAGTAGAGTATTTTATGAGATGATTTGGGAGAATTTCATGAAAAGTGTGGTAAACTCCCTTTTTTGTATTTTTGAGTTTAAGAGGTTGAGTAGTGAAAATTTAATCTGAAAATATTTCTTGTGATATGGTATATTGCATGAGTTAGTCTTAATGATTTGTATATGGTCAAATTGGTGTCGGAGGCTAATGGCCCTTAATATTTGTTTTGGACACATGAATTTGTGAAAATTATTGTAGAAGGGTAAGTTTTTGAAAAGTATGTTTAATTTTTGTTCTAGAAAGAATTTAAGTCTGAGACCAATGCCACTAGTTAGGGCTCAAAAAAAGCTTTCAGTAGACACCTAATTCACATCATTCGGACTTCGAATAGAGTTTTGGGGCATGTCAAAAGTTAGCCCTAATGCTGTCGATTGATAGCAAAATTCACTGTCAAAATTCATGTAATTACACCACGGTGCGTGTCATAAAGGAGAACATGCCGCGATACATGTTCAATGAGCCGCAGCACACACTTCAAAATTTTTTAGAAATTTTCTTGTTTTAAATTCCTAAATAAATGCATTCACTTATGTAATGATCTCATGCTTCTGCATACTTGTAAATGTTGATTTGTTTAATTGCAAGATTTGAAAGTGAATTTAGTTTTGTAAACTTAGGATTTGGTTTTAATTATAGGATTAAAAGGGGGAGGATATTACAAACTTGGTATCAATTTCTCTGGTTATGAGAATTGGTCTGTGGATTGTCTCTAGTAGTTATGATTATTTATGCATTTGCATATAGAATTAGTAATTGTCATTATACACATATTGTTTTCCTCTCTTGAGCTAGTACTAAACCTTTCCTTTTATGGAATGACTTTCATCCTTAGGAGGGGAGAATGATACAAACAAGAAATATAGCTTATTGGGATAAGATCAAGAAGCCTCAGAAGAAGTGGAGACTGAAGTAATCCCAATTGAAGAGGAACAAGTAGAAATGGAACAAAACCAAAAACAACCCGTACGCTCCACGGGTAGGGATAATTTGTTGCTCGAGTTAAGAGCAATGATGGAGAGAATTGAGAAAAGATTAGATGAGCATGACAAGATTCTTGAGAAGAAGCCTAAGGAAGGGTGTAGTGGTACGGTTGAGAAAACCGGAGGTAACCACAAGAGGAAAAAAAGAGTTGAGATACTTGAAGAGGTGCAGGGGCATGAAGATAAGGAGTATTATGAGGAGAGTACACCAAAGAAACCAATGCATTCTATGAGGCTGATTGAGAAGGAACATGAGAGTTCCATTGACTACGCACTCAAGAGTTTCACAAGGTTAAATCCTCCTCACTTTAATGGTTCCATGGAAGATAGAGCCGGTGAGAAGTGGATAAACTAATTGGAGATAATATTCTTCATGATGAGCTGCACAATAGAGCAGCAAGTACTTTTAGCTATTTTTATGCTAGAGGATGCTGCCAAACAATGGTAGGAGAGTGTAAGACTAGTTGATGGCTCTTTACTTACATAAAAGGAATTCAAGAGGAGATTCTTCACTCATTATTTTCTATCTACCTTTTGAGCTGAGAAGGAGTTTAAGTTTCATCGCTTACAGCAAGGTAATATGAATGAGGAAGAGTTCATTACCAAGTTTAATGAATTTTTAAAGTATTCGACCTATTTGAGACATCATGATGATGAGGAGTGGAAGGCCGAGCAATTCTTAGACAAGATGCCGCTTAAGTATAGTAAGCAATTGATAGCCTTTGAGATCACTTCTTTTGAAGTAACGTGCAATAAGTTTCAGGCTATTGCTAAAAGAACCAAATTTGTAGATGATAAGAAATGAGATGGTCAGGGTCGTTTCTCTTCATTCATGAGTCCTACCAGCAGTATGAGCAAGAAGACCAGTTTTGGTTCAGGACCATTCTGAGGGTTTAGTGTCGGTGGTGCTAGGAATCATTTTCAAAAGGGGTCTCAATCTAAGGGATCCCAATCCAAGAGCAATGAACCTAGAAGTATGAGAGGTCAAAACTAGACTTCAAGGCAGGATTTTGTCCCTACTATTACTAGACCTATGAGAGCCCCGCATTGCAACAAGTGTCAGAAGTATCATAAGGGGGAGTACTAGACATGTTTCACATGCAACAAGGTAGGTCATATAGTGCGATACTGTCCTAAGAATGCTAGTACACTTGACCAAAGGTTTACTATTCTTAGTCGTGTCTTTGCCATGTCTAAGAAGGAAGCTGAAGCTTCTTTGAAGCTTATTAAAGGTACTATTTCTCTCTGTGATGTTGAGATTTTTGCTTTATTTGATTCAGGTACTACTAACTCTTTTATTTTTTATGAGTGTGTAGAAAAGTTAAAGTTGTTTG